TAAAGGATGTCTTTTCTCCAATTGTGTGTTTTCTGCACCTTTTGTCAAGGATCAGATGACTGTAGATGAGCGGGTTTGTGTCTGTGTCTTCTATTCTGTACCGTTGTTCTATGTGTCTTTTTTTTATGCCAGTACACTACTCTGTTTTTATGACACTATAGCTCTGTAATATAATTTGAAGTCAGACATTGTGATACCTCCAACATTGCTTTTTAGGCTTTAAATTGTTTTGGCTATTCTGGATCTTTTATTGTTCCAGTGAATTGTAGGACTTTTTTTTTTTTTTTTACTTCTATGAAGATTGTCATGGTATTTTGATTGCATTAAATCTATATTAAATGCTTTTGATAATCTGGCCATTTTAACAATAGAAATTCTGCCTATTCGTGAACATGGGATGGGAGTCTTTCCATCTTATGAGGTCTTCTTCAATTTCTTTTTTCAATGTTTTTTCAGTGTGAAATGCTGCTCTATTTCTCAGCAAATTCATTGTTTGTAGCTAGGAAAGCTATTGATTTTTGCATACTGATTTTGTAAACTGCTACTTTGACAAATTTCTTTATTAGCCCTGGCAGTCTTTTGGTAGAGTTTTTTTTTTTAATTTTCTAGATATAGGGTCATATCATCTGCAAACAGTCGTAATTTGACTTCTTCCCTCCTATTTTTATCCCTTTTATCCCTAATTGCTCTGGCTAGAATTTCTAGTACTATAATAAATAGGAGTGATAAGAGTGGACATCCTTGTCTTGTTCCAGATTTTAAAACAAATGCTTTCAGTGTTTACTATGAGATTGACTTTGGGTTGTTCATACACAGCCTTTGTGATATTGAAGTAGGTTCCTTTTATCCCTAGTTTCTTCAATGGTTTTATTGTGAATGGGTGTTGAATTTTCTCAAAGGCCTTATCTTCATGTACAGAGATTACTAAGTGATTTTTGTTCATAATACCGTTTATGTGATGAATTACATTTTATTGATTATGCATGTTAAGCCATTCTCACATCTCTAAAATAAAACCAAATTTGTCTTAGAGTACGATCTTCTTAATATGTTGTTAAACATGATGCACTAAAAACAAAAGATAATTCACTAATATTTTATAAGTATTTTTGAATATAAGTTCATTAGGGATATTGATCTGTAGTTTTCTTTCCTTGATGTGCCCTTATCTGGTTTAGGTATAAGCGTGATACTGGCTTCATAGAATAAATTTGGAAGGCTTTCATCCCTTTCCTTATTATAGAATAAGCTGAAGAAGATTGGCATTAGTTTCTCTTTAATGGCTTGGTAAAATTCAGGTGAGAATCCATCTGGTCCTGGGCTTTTCTTTGTTGGAAGGCTTTTTATTATTGCTTGAATCTTGTTACAAGTTACTGGTGTGTTTACGTTTTATATGTTCTCTTGATTCAGTTTTGGCAGATCATAGGTGTCTAGAAATGTAACTGTTTATTCTAGGTTTTCCAATTTATTGGAGTGTAAGTTTTAAAAATAGTCTATAATGCTCTGCTGGATTTTTGAGATATCTATAATGATTTTTCCTTTCATCTCTAATTTTATTAATTTGGTTTTTCTCTTTTTCTTTTGGATAGTTTGGCTAAGGGCTTATTAATCTTGGTTATCTTTTCATAGAACCAACTCTTTGTTTCATCCATCCTTTGTATTTATTTTTTCTGAAGTTTATTGATCTGGGCTCTGATAATAATTATTTCCTTCTTTCCACTGGTATTGGAATTGATTTGTTCTTCTTTTTCAGGGGCCTTCAGATGTATCATCAGGTTGTTTATTTGGAATCTTTCTGATTTTCTTAAGTAGGCACTCATAGCTATGAACAACTTTTTAGAATGCCTTCATAGTATCCTAGAGGTTCTGATATATTGTATTACTACTCTTATTTGAGTCTAAGAATTTTTAAATTTCTCCTTTGCTTTCTTCTATCACCCATTCATCATTCAAAAGAGTATTGTTCAACTTCCATGTGTTTATATAATTTCTGTAGTTTTTGGTCCTGTCAATTTCTATTTCATTCCATCATGATCTAATAAGATGCAAGGAAATTATAACATTTTTTGTATTTTTTAGGTGCTGCTTTGTGGCCTATCATCTGATATATTGGGGGAAAGGATCCATGAGCCACTGAGTACTTCCGTGTGTATTCAGCTTTTGTTGGATGAATTATTCTACAGATGTCTGTTAGGACAAGTTGATTTATAATGATTTTCAGGTACAAAGAGTCTTTGCTGAGTTTATGTCTGGATGGTCTACTAACGGTAAGAGAATGATGTTGAAATAACCCAGTATATTGTACTGGGTCTATCAGGGGCTTCTATTTGAGTAGTGTCTCTTTTATGCAATTAGTTGCACCCACATTTGAAGAATACATTTTTATTATTGTTATATCTTCTTGTTGGATTGTTCCTTTTACCAATATGAAGGGACCTTCATATTTCATGTTTCTTTTCTGATTTATTTTGGTGTGAAATTTACTTTTTAGATAGGATAATAGCTATTCTTGCTTGTTTTCAGGCTCCTATCACATAGTATAGCAATTTGCCTGTAAGATGCATATCTTGCAAACAAGATAGAGTTGAGTTTTGGTTTTTAATTCATTCTGCCAGCCTATGTCTTAACTCTCCAATTAAATGACATATGTCTCTGTCTTTTAATTGGAGAGTTAAGATCATTTACATTCAATGTTATTATAGAGATATGTTTATTAATTCATGCTGTTTTACTTTCTTTAAATTTAATTTGGTGTTTAATTTGGTCTTATTTCTCATTAGCTTACCTACTCTTCAAATGATATTTGTTCACTTGTGAGCTCTAATATTATTTCTTCTGTGTGCAGTATTTCTTTAAGTAAATTCTATAATGCCAGTTTAATAATCATTAATTCTTTGAGTTTCTGCTTATCTGGGAAGGGTATTTGCCTTCAATTTTGAATGATAGCTTTGCTGAATATAGCAGTCTTGGTGGACAGTTATTTTCTTTCAGGACTTGGAATACATTATTCTCAGTCCCCTGAGTTTCTGCTGAGAAATCAGAAGTGATTCTGATTGGCCTCTCTCTATAACCTGATGTGTTTCTTTTGAGGCTTTAAAATTTCTATCCTTGTTCTATATGTTAGGCTTTTTAATTAAAATTTGTTGTGGAGAGCTTCTTTTTTATCTTGTCTACCCAGGGTTCTGAGTGCCTCCTGTATCTGGACATACATTTCATTATTCAGGTTTGGAAAGTTTTTCTGTTATTATTTCCCTGAAGAGTTTATCCATTCCATTAGCCCATATCTCATAGCTTTCCTCAATTCCAGTGATTCTTAAATTTGGTCTCTTCATGTTGTTTCAGATTTCTTGTATTATTCTATCATGGTTACTTTTTTTTTTCTTTCATACTGTCTGAATGTTCAAGGCTGGCTACTTTGTCTTCCAGCTCTGAGTCTTTATTCAGCATGGTCTATTCTATTATAAATAGACTTTCAATTGAACATTTTATTTAATTTTTTATGTCTTTCATTTCTCAGATTTCTGTTTTGTTCTTTTTTTATATTTCGTTTTTTTAAAGAGAGAGAGAGAGAGAGAGAAATTTTTTAATTTTTTTTTTTTTTTTTTTTTTAGTTTTTGGTGGACACAACATCTTTATTTGTATGTGGTGCTGACGTGTATGCCAGGCGAGCGTGCTACCGCTTGAGCCACATCCCCAGCCCCCTTTTTTAATATTTCTATCTCATTTTTTAATCTCTCTTTCACATCCTGAACTGACTTGCTTCATTCAGTTGTTTTTCTGTGTTCTCTTAGAATTCATTGGTCATTTTTATAATGATCCTTTTGAATTCCTTTTCTTGTCATTTGCTGGTGAGTTATGAACTTTAGGAGGTGTTGTGGTAGCTTGCTTTTTCATATTTCTTATATTCATGTATTGGGTTTTATGCATCTGTTAGAAAGTATTTCTCTTCCAGTATTATGTGTGCATCTTTGCAGGGCACAGTCCTCACTTACAAAAGTATCCTAGAGTGATCTATGTCAACAGCCTTTGTGCTATTTGTTTTTGCTATAGCAATGTATGTCCATTGGTGAAACATGAGGGTCCATCCCTAGCTATTTCTACCTGGGTCCTGGTTGTTAGTTTGGGGTTTTGTCTCTTCTATTCTTTATATTAAAGTATAGCTGAAGATCAAGTGTCATTAATTTGTATGTGGAACAAATGAACTTGAAGTGTTCCTGTAGGTTCCCAGCACCTCACAGAACAGATATAAACAAATAATAGCAACAGCAAATGCAAAGAATATACAGCATTAAACTAAATACTTGATTCCTATTGACACCTACAATGTTAATTGCCACAGGGGGAAAAAAAACAGAAATGGTAGGGTCAGCAATTGTCAACAACAAAGACAATAAGTAACCATGAACTATATCTGGCATTAAATCAAACAACAGGTGTTAACTATGTCATCCACATCAGTGATAATTACAACTGCATAATGATGGAGTATATAATGGTAGGAATTATATAAACCAATTAGTGCTAAAAGATAGTAACAATACAATTAATTGGGGTTGTGGTTGTGCCTTGGTGGTAGGGCACTGTCCTGACATAGGTGAGGAACTGGGTTTGATCCTCAGAACCACATAAAAATAAATAAAGTCATCATGTCCACCTATAACTAAAAATATATATATATATATTTTAAAAGAATAGAGTTAATTAAGAGAACAGAAAATGTGGCAGGAAGGTAGAAAAGAGTTTACAGTTTCAAAAAGTGAACAAAGACAATACCAAAGAGATGTAGCATGTGATGGTTAAAAGGAAGGAAGAGATAAAATAGAAGTAACAAAGTAAAGGGAGAGTGAAAGAGAACAATAGAATTTGACTGTATGTAGAGGAAAAGAGAAAGAGAGACAAGAGAAAAAGACAAATGAAAACAATACAATAAAAAACTAAAATATACTAATCAAAAATCCTAACCCTCAAAAGACAAGGCAAGGAAAAATCACTACATTTACAAATGCTAAAAATTAGAAAAAAAAAAGAAACAATTATGTATAGGTGTGTATATCCATGAACCAATCAGCACAGCAAAAACACACACAAGAGAAAAAGAGAAAAGATTCTCAATGAAATAATTGTTTCCACTGAGATGGTTGGAAAGAATAGATGCTCACTATCTATGCCTAACTGTCTTTCTTTCCAGTTCTTCTTGAGCTCTGCACTGACAGTGAGAGCAAGGGACAAGGGTTGTTAACCCCTTCATCTTTTTGCACTGCTCCCCAAGCTGCCAGTTGGAGTGGCCTAAACTGAAGCTGGTTCAAATAAGTATCAGCTTCTCTTCTCTGCAATATGAAGCAGCCAGGGATGGGAAGTACTGTCAGTTGGAGTTTCATCTGCACAGAACAGATCTATATACACCCAGGGTGGGGCTGTGGTAGAGTGCTATGAGGGGAATTCCAGTGGGTTGAGCTGAGGTCTAATCAGGCCTCAGAGAATTTGCTGGGTAGTGTCCACTCCAGAGAGATTAGATCAATACACTCTTAGGACTGGGCAGTTGCCAATCTGAGCTGGGAATCTAGATCTCTAAAACCTCTCAAGAATGGTACTCCAGGGGCTGGAAAGCCAATCCTTCACCCCCTCTGCTGCCTTTCCACCTACCTGTTCAGATTTCTGGACTTGCTTCAGCTGGTCACATGAGCCACCAGACTCAAAGGGGAAAGTGAGTTAGGCTCTCTTTGGATTTTCTGACTTGAACTGCCCTTGTAAAGTACTCTCTGTGTTTGTTTCATTCCTGTTCTTCTAGGTGCACTCGAGGTACCATGTGGTATGCACTTTCCAGGACAGTATACCAGGTTGGCTTTGATCTCTTGGCTCTCACAGCAGCGGCCACAGCATGGCTGCCTCAAGTGGCTCTGCCTCAGCTCTCCATGACCAGTTGGGAAACATGGGACACTTTTCAATCACCAGGACACATGCAGCCTGTGGATCAGCTAAAGGCAGGCTGCCTTTCTGATCTCAGGTTTTGGGTACTAAATTTGTCCATTGTGATTCTCTATGTTCTCCTTCCCTCCGAGATGACAGTGCTGCTGCTGTCACTGCTGCTGCAACTAGTTTGGCTCCAATGTAGTCTTTCTTCTTTGTTTAGCGTATCCAAATTTCTGAATCTCTAAGACACAGTGATGTGTCCAATATTGAGTTTTAGTGAAATCCCTCTTTCATCCATCTCAGAGAAGCAGAACTCTTGTTGCTTGAATCCCAATCCATGGAGTGACTAGGAATGAAGACTTCCTGTAGCCTACCATCTTGAATCCTCTACTCCAAGGTTTCTTAAGTGTTAAATTAAATATGTATATATATAAAACATTTTCCAGTTGTCTTAAAGGACTGAGTTTGCTGTCTCTGTAGGCATGTCATTCTTGTCTACATTAGAATTCTGCTTCTAAGTAATGCATAGCCATTCTGTATGTCTCACTTAGAAATTTTTTCCTCTTGGGGACTTTTCATGAGCTCCATCCAGCCCTCTCTAAATTGAGTTTAGTGTTCTTATCTTCCATTCTTATGGCCCCCAATTACTTCTTTCATTATTGAACTAAGTACTCTACTAAATCCATGCTCAAATCTATGCCTTCTCCATGAGACCATAAAGTCTAATTAGCAAACATTGTTTTATTCATAACTGTAATCCCAGAGCCGGGCACAATGCCAAACACATAGTAGGTGCTCAATAATTATTTTTTACTGAATTAAAATACCTGAGTTTATAGAGTAACAATATCCCCATCTTGTGGCCTTTTAGAAGACTCTGGTAAAGCCATCATCCCCTGCTGTGTTTACAATACCAAAAGCCAGGTGGGTTCTCAAGCTCCTTACTGCATGCACTGGGGAAAAAAATAAAGTAAAAATGAGATCCCATCTGCAAATTCAGTGTTTCCTACTGTTAGTTGACACAAAGCAGGAGAAATATTTGGAAAGGAATAAACCTGAATATACAGTTGTAAGCAGAAATGAGGCACTTGAACCATACAAACCAATTGCCTTATCTACTTCCATTTTTGAAGCAAAGGATTTTATTCAGGTTTACCATCTGGAAGGACATTTTCAGACACATATTTCCTCATAGATTGAGTCATTCTCAGTCAGATTCCTTGCCTTCTTTGAATCAGAGTTTTAGATGGAAAAAGAAGGCAGATATTTCAGAGAGAGAGAGAGCACCCAGATAGTGATACTGCTGGGCCCAGAACCCCAACCTGCTGGCTGCTAGCCAGGGTTTGCAGTCACACTGCCTCTGCTAAATCACAAGTGGGTTTGTTAATAATTAAGCAATGATAGTTAGTGTGCAGTGAAATGGAATGATGGTGTGTTGTTGTTTCAAATCATGTTATTATGGGCTCATCATGATTAGCACACAACTTCTTCCCTCATTATGAGTAGTCCAGAAGAGGATGATGGCACATAAATTAAAGTTAGGCTCAAAATGGGATGTTCTGAGAATGTGTCAAAAAAAAGAGAGCAATAACATTAAAGTTTTATAGAGAAAGTAGAAATTTTTTCATACAAAAGCATTAAATTTTGACAGACAAGCCTATTCATCCTGAAAATAATAATCTAAAACTTCAAAATCTCAGACTATTTAAAGAGGAAAGAGGCTTCAAGGAAGACTAACTTTGATTAAAAGGAATAAAAAGAAATGTAGGGCTTTGATGTCTCCCAAATAACTATTGCTAGTGCTTACTGAAGCATTTCCTATGTGCCATAAACTGTGCGGAGCTCATCACGTGGGTTATTGTATTTACCCTCATAAAAAGGACCTCGAAAGCAGTTATATCACTTACCACATGGCAATGAAGAGGAGTAGAACAAAGGAATACCAAGGATCTTCTCCAGAGTCTCACCATGAGTAAATGGGACCTGAGATTCAACACACAAGACTCCAGAGCTCTTGCTGTCTTTCCCTGCCCCTCTGCAAAACTAAGTCAAGCCTTGCTCAATCACTTTGTCACCTAAAATATTTTCAATGCACATCAAATGTATGCCCTCCCTTCTTAGGTACCCCACAGATGTTTTCTCTGTCCTTTTGCTTAGTAGAATTTTCTAGTATTATAATAATAAGCCATAGTCAAATCAAAACAGCAGTGGATCCAGACTTGAAAACCCAGGTCTTGGGAATACTCGAAGCTTGTACTTTATTAGGTCACTCAACTTTCCTCAAAGTTTTCTTAATCTGTAAAATGGGGCATATCCTATTTCTCAAAGTTGTTGAGAGAAATTTATAAAATAATATCTTTAAAAAGGCCTTAGATATGGTGGGCTCAAATATTTAGTAGCAACTTGATGACTGTACTGGAGTTCTACTAAAACTACAAGGGACCTCCACCATGTAACAAGCCTGGAGGTATAGATCTGAGCATTGTATTAGTCAGTATTCTACAGAGAATCTGTGGATTTATTAGATCAACTCACATGATCAGAGGATGAATAGCCCTACAATGGCAGGCTGGAAAGCCAGGAAAAAATAGTAGCTGCTCAGTTCAGGAAGCTGAGAACCCCAGAAGGAGAGAAAAACCAATGATATGGCCCTAGTCTGAGATTCACTGGAAAAAAAAAATAAGTATCAACAGCTTGAAAGACCTCTGGAAAGCTTGCTGCTGGTACAATTTAGCATTCAAAGGCTGAAGACCTGTAATCTGATGTCCAACACTGATAGCAGAAGAAAAACACCTGCTCAAGAAAAGTACAGCACATGCAAACTAGCTTTTCCATTCCATTCCATCCAGACTTTTAGCTAATAGACGGTGCTATGCACATTCAAGGAGGATCTTTCCCATTCAATTTGCTGACTCATATACTAATCTTTTCTGGGAAAAATCTTCACAGGTACACCCAGAATTATACTTCACCAATTTTCTAGGCATCCCTCAATCTAATAAAGTTGAAACTAAAATTAACCATCAATGAGATACTGCATTGATAGAAAAAGTTTTTAAATACTTCCTACTATTTTCAAATTTTTGGATAGTTTCCTGTGTACAGAAAAATATTTTTCCCCTCAATTTTGTCTCTTAAACACATGGATCCAGCTCTTTCTAGCCACAGGCCAAAGCTTGCTTTGCCCACATTAAAAGTTAAATGGCTCTGTAAGTCATCACTGAATGGAGAAAAAGCAAATAAGCTGGAAAGAAAATATGCTTCATTTATTTTTCAGGTAGAAGCAATCAACCAAGGACCCCGTTTATTCATTCAATACTCTGTAAACATTTATTTAGCACCTACTACCTTTGTTTTTAATAAAATATAATGCCAGGTGTTCAGCATATTTGGAGATTGGTAAAGTTCATATGAGTTGTAAATATTTTTACTCCCTCTTCCAATCATTCCCCAGAATGAAATTTGGAAAGTGACAAGCTTAATCTGTCTGTGAAAAACACAGAGATGACTGAACTCGCCAAGTGACAAATCTGCCTCGCTAATGAGGTCTCCTCCTCTCTCATGGCTTCCTCAACCTATTGCCTGTCATCGCAGACATCTCTCTGTTGTTATTTGGCCATGCACAGAGTGTGTATAACATTATGAGTAAGTTTTCTTTGCCACACTCTCTGCCCATTGGCACAGCCCAGGAACATAAGGTAGAATAAACAATAAGATATTAGGTGAATGTTCTCTTATCTCTTGCCACAGAGATAAAAGAAAGAGAATTGAAAGGAGAAAAGAGTGAAATCACATGCTCTGAATGTTAACAAAACCAAAGGACTCTGAAATACTACTCTAACTCTGACTGCTATGAAATGTTACCTGGTAGAGACATGTAGGCCTTAAAACCAATCTCTGAATGAACCCAGCTCTTAATCTTTCTTCTCTCTTACTAATCTGTAAAGTAAGGATGGCACTGGCCCTTCCACTCATGCAGGGGTCAGAAGAACTGACAGTGGCACAAAAAGGTTGAGTCAGGTGAAGAGAACCACCCCAGTGTGCCATGAATGTGACTATAAGATTTTGGTCTCAGAAACCTTTTGTTTTGTTTTAGAGGACTGGAGAGGGGATAAGGAAAATTAGAGAGTGTGGTAGGTGGAATAATGGCCCCCCCAAAGATGTCCACACCTTACTCTCTGGAACATGGTAAAAGAGACTTTGCAGATATGATTAAGTATAACACCTGGAGACGGGAGTTTATCCTGGGGCCAGTATAATCACCAGGGTACCTATAAAAGGATGCATGAGGCTGGGAATCAGTAGTAGAAGATGAAATGATGAAAGCAAGACGTTGAACTGATGGAGGAAGGACACCTGTGCTGAGGAGTGCAACTAGCCCCTACAAACTGGAAAAGGCATAGAAACAGAGGATCCTTTCAGAGTTCCATACACAGTCAGCCCTGCTGACAGCTCAGCTGTAGCCCATAGAGAGTGGTTTGGGACTTCCAAGCTGTAGAACAGCAGGATGATAAATGTGCATTGTTTTAAGCCACTGAGTTTGTGATCACTCATTATAGCAGCCACGTGAACTATTGCAGGTGAGAAGCTATGTTCTTCCATTAAAAAGAGCAAAGAAATGAGAATGGGAAACTTTGGGTTTTAACTTTGTCATAACTAGCTGTAAGACCTTAAGCAAATCACATTACCTCTTTACACCTTGATGTACCCACCTATTTTAGTCGGCTTTTCATTACTGTGACCAAAAGATCTGACAAGAAGCATTTTAGAGGAGGAAAAGTTTCTTTGGGATTCATGGTTTCAAAGGTCTCAACTCCATTTTTCTGGATCCGAGATGAGGCAGAACGTCATTCAGAAGCCTGTGGTGGAGAAAAACAGCTCAGGACATGGCAACAAGGAAGCAGAGAGGGCTCCCTCACCAGGAAAAAAAAGAAAAGCCTCAAAGTCATGCCCACATGACCCATCTCCTCCATTCACACCTACCTGCCAATAGTTACCACCCAGTTAATTCATGCAATTGAATTAATCCATTGACTAGGTTACAACTCTCATAATATGATCATTTCACCTCTGAACCTTCTTGTATCATCTCACACATGAGCTTTTGAGAGACACCTCATACATCAATCATAATATTACCCATGCACATAGGGCTTAAATCTTCTAGATCTGGGAGTCTACAAAGGACACTGCTAATTGTACACAGCTACTTAAATTAATAACCTCCTTCCTCAAAAAATTAAAAGTAAGAAGATGGCGGTGGGAAGAGAGTGAGCCGCTCCATGCCCCGCACCACCGCGCCCGCAGCGTGTTGCCGCATCTTAAAAGAAAAAGTAAAGATCACTAGAGGAGATCTGTCGACAAAGACTAAGCACCATGTCAAGAAAGGGGCCTAGGTGGAGTGAGTCCGTCACAACTCCAGCCAAGGTGGAGTGAGACCTTCACGACTCCAGCGAGAGCAATAAGGCTGCAGCTCCTGAGCTGCCCGGCTCTCTCAGCCCCTTTGCCTTCTCCACTCCGCCTTTCCGCTTTGCTTCTCCTCCTCTGTCTCTCCTCCCACGCTCACTCCCTAAATCTAGATCTCAATTTCTTTCCCCCGCCCTGCC